TAAGGACCAGATGGATAGATTGACATAACTTATTAACAATTTGGTGGAATTGGATGAAACTGCGCAAGTGTACTGCCAAAAGCCTTACAGTCATGGACATGGAAGGGCCTCATATATGCAGCGGTCGGCTTCAGTATGGAGCCAAAAGGGAGTGGCCGCATAAAACGAAGGGTTTGGTGGGACAGGACAAGAGGGAGTGTACTGAGCAGGGAGAAGTCACTGTGGAATGTAGTGGTGCCCTTGATCACAACAAGTCTCAGAGACAACACGAGGGTGACTTTGCGCGAGAAAGAATCCCTGGGAAACTGGAAGAAGGAAGATTTGTAACGAGTGTGGTCCAGGAGTTTGATGTTGCTACCCCATTGTTTTGTGCGCATAAGGGCAATATGGACTGCAGCCACTGCTGCTGGATGACTTTTGTGAATAAGGCGGCCCTAAATTAGAAGGCAGAGATTGCGATAGCTGGAGAGCATTGCGGGTTCGATGTCGTCTTGAAGGTCATTGGTGGAAGGGTGTCAGGAGGGGGGTCCTCACCACACCTGCGCAATGAGGGGTGTGGTCCACCGATGACGACCAATGGTGCCATTAAAATCACTCTGCCCTGCAGCTATCGTCACTGCCTTTAATGTATGTACGGATATGATGCCAAACTCTGGAACCCAGGTACCCGACAAGATTTCCGACACGCGACGAGAAGGTAGAGAAGCAGAGGGGTCAGCGGACGAGTCGCAGCGCGTACTGCAGTGATTTCGCGTCAAGTTAAATAGAATGTACATTGTACGTCCACATCGCACAGCACGCGCTGCGACTCGTCCGCTGACCCCTCTGCGTCTCTGCCTTCGCGTAGGGTGACGGTCTTCTGTCGGGTATCCATGGGCGATATTTAATTTGCCGCTTCTTGTACGACTACTGCTCCTCATATTTATAATTTTCTGCAAAGAGTTTAAAACGGCAGGGAAGGCTGGAAGGTTGTTCCAAGCTTTCCTTCATGCTTCGGCAGGGAACGCTGTCAGTGGGTAAAACGGAAGGCGTGGATTCACAAAATCGAAGCCAAAAACACACCGCTTTTGACCTGACCTAAAATGTGATAGCATTCAAGTACATAAATGGCTTGTACAGTGGCGAGTACAGGAACATTGACACCAGTTAATGAAATCGTGCCTTCCATTACTCATCATTGGTGTCTCATTTTCATCAACTACATCCCTTAATTGTCTCGGTGTGGCTCACAAAAGACCACCACCATCCATAAACCCGGAAACTTCCACAAAATGCTTTCACGAATGAGATTTCTCGACCCGTATCGACTTGGGGACTCAAAATGCATTGCAACGATGCTACAGGCTTGATTTTTGCATCACTGCCATCGTTGCGGTGTCAGGTGGTGCTATCTCGTTCTGCTCGTCTATGCTCTCGCCTCTACGCCCACTGTCTCAAATGATCTGCCCCTTTCTGCCTCGCGCACTCGAGGAAAGGAGCCCCTCAAATGAAGTTTTCTGAAATTCATGAAGTGATGAAGTTTTGACGGTTTCTTTCCTTTCTTTACTGAAGAGTCTACTTACACTTACTCACACATACATATAAGCCACATTGCTTTATCTTAGGAATCGCTTTTTTTAGCTCAACGTATTTGTCGAAGGACAGCCAACCACTTCGACAGATAGTACCGTAACCCAGACACCCATCACGACATCTGGCTGCTATTTCCCCACAAAGGTCTACAACGCGGAAATCATGGAAAATCGCAAAGGTCGCACTCGTGTCGCTAAGGTGACGTCGTCTTGCGAAAGCGACGGTCGTCCGTACGTGTACACAATGACACCCGCTTCTGGTACGCCTCTATTTTAATGCCATTCATTTTGCTGAAGAAAAATATTCGGTTCAGATGATTTCGAGCTGAATTCGACAAGCGGTGAGATCTACGCCGTACGGCCTCTTGATCGCGAAAAGCGTAGCTTCCACTTTCTTTACATCAGCGTCTCCGGTGGTAGTATAGCAAACAGAAATCGCGTTGCCCGCCAGAATCCAATAATCGAACGTGAGTTGGTGCCCAGAGCCCTCGAAAGAGCATGGAAAAAGGGAGAAATGTGAAATTTCAGAGGCAATGGCAAAACTAACGGAGGTCCAAACATTGGTCGTGGTGCGAGTGCTGGACGAGAACGACAATGCGCCACGATTCGTGCACTTGAATGAGGACGAATCTTTGACTGCCGTCGTGGATTGGCAGGCTCGCCTCTTCAGCCCTGTGCTTAGGCTCGAGGTAACTCAGGGTTTTGTATACTTTCGAACCAGGATGTAAAAAAACATATTCCAGGCTAAGGATGCCGACGAGCATGCGCAATTGTCCTACTCATTGGATGGTGCTGACCATGAGTACTTTTTGGTGAACACTACCAGTGGACTCGTCATCCTTGCCAAAACCTTGTCTGATTATTCTGGAGATTTTCTAGAGCTCGGTGCCACTGTCAGCGATGGAGTTCACCGCGCTCAAGTCCCAATCAAGGTAATTTTTTTTGATCTGCGGGTTTTCAGTGAATCAACGAACACTCTTGCTAGGACCAGGTCCTATTTAGCAATAGGAACGTTGGATATGCAAGAGGTTCACACAAATACAGGATCACGGTTTATCCTTTGAATCTCTCTTAGAATGAGTTTTTCGAATGAGTGCACGCATTCTATGGGCGGAGGTAGTATAAAGGCAAGAGGCGCTACTCAACATGCGCATTGATTCAGGGATCTAATCCTGAATCGCTGCCATTGATGCCAACCAACCTTTCCATCATTCCAGGGTCGTTTGATTGCTACCAAGCATGATAAAAAGCTGAGCTGTAAATCGGCTTGCCCCCAAAGTCATTATATAGGCCAGATCGCTTGGTCTTGCCCCTACGAGCCTGAATGGAAGTGGAATGCGTGGCGCATCTCAAAATGGGATTGGTCGCCGCCGAATGATTTATCCTTTCTCCGCTAAATGCAATCATGAGCAATCGCTCTAGCTAAGCCTCAAAGGGAGAGGAACTCTTGAGAACATGAAAGGCGGTGGAGGAGAGAGCACCTCGAGTCTCTTCTCCACCGCTTGTCCCGACATCAACAAAAAGGCGATTTTTCAGACCATTTTAAAAAATGCCACCACAATGTCCCCATATATTGCGATAGCGCCTGCAATCTATATTCAAAGATTTACGTGCTACCATCATCGATGTTTATTCGATCGGTGGTCCTGGCTCCCATCCGCTTCGAGCACATTTCCACTGCGGTCGGGCCCTGAACTCGAGATTGGACAAGAGGATACGAGATTGGGCAGCAGAGGGCTAGAAAATACGATATGCTACGCATCGAAAGCCAAGATTCCTCAAGGAACTGTTGTGCAGAATCGGTGCAGCGTTCACGAGATATCGTTCACCGTATTTTGCGGGGGTGAGGGGGAGCAGGATTGTTACTTATTGTCTGAATATGGACACTGAGTTCCGGCTAACCGCCTTTCCAAGTTGGAAGGAAGCTAACCGCCTTTCCAGGTTGGAAAGAAATTGTGGGTTTGGATGGGGTCACCGAGGCTTTCAGGGAATGAGGAGTAAAAGTGACAGAAACACTAACAGCTACCAAGATCTCATAACATTCAAGCGTCCGAGGCATTATATTGAAATGGGGTTCGGCCTGTAGTATTTTTATAATTCCGAAACCACGGACCCCAATCCAACAGATGGTAGAGTCGTTCAGCACTCGTTTTCCAAAATAATAATTCTATTTTATACGATTTATTCAGGTCTACGTAATATCTCCGTCATCGTCGCTGGTGCAGCTTACTGCTGAAAAGCCGCATTCGCAAGTGGATCAGGTCTCTGTCGAAAGAACTCTCAACGAACTAACTGGACTTGACAATCGCCTTCTTGCAAAGCAGCCTTTCGTAGACAGCCAACCGGGGCTTGCTGACCGACGAAAGTGTTTTGCTGCCAATTCCATACGAAGCTTTAAAGGAGGAATTCACGATTAGAATGAAGGTCGAAGAAAGGGAAACTGACCTAGTTGAGGGACCCACGGACCTCCTGAGGGTGCGAACTGACGCGCAATTCGCATGGAAAAATTTGACCTCGGCGACCTATCATGCCTCAAAGCTGGCGGGTCCGGCGATCTCCGCCCACCGATCATCTGATCACTCGCCGTAGTTCAATACGTGGCGAGTGATTAGATAGCTGAGAGAGCGTAGTGTTGAAGAGGGCACAGCGATGAGAGTCGCATCAATGCTCGAATCAACGGGCAAGGAAGGGGTACCATTTCTCGGGTTCTGGGCCGTTTCTCATGGGTTCTTCTTTCGTGTACCACTCACCATCCCTAGGTTAATTTGAAATGGGTTGCTTTTTCATCGTGAATTCGTCCTTTAAGCCTAAAGTCATACAAAAAGATCTCATTTGAGCAAGCAAACCATTGGTGTATTGCTTTGCAGTGTCACATCTCTTCGTCTACGCACTCGATCGCAAAACGATGGTACCGTTACCCAAGGAAGAGTTGGCCAAGTTTGTGACTTAAACTTTACCCTACTCCTACCATAATGAATGAAAACGAGTTTCAGAATCCTGGAAAGTCACTCAGCATCGCTGTTGTCATCGCCGTCGAAAATCTCAGATGTTGCGATGCTCTCACCACCACCGGTTGCCATCTCGACGTTCGACTTGATCCTGGCCATCGTTTGCGCCATCCTTCTCTTGCTTCTCCTTCTTGCCTGTTGCCTTCTCTCTTCTTATTGCAAACGGTAAACGGCCACTAAATATTTCGCACAATTTGTAAGGGTATGGATTTCATTGCAGAAAGCGAGCGATTGCCACCAGTGATCGTGAGTACATGGTTTCTGCGAAGGCGGGTCCACGCCCCTACGATGTTGAAGCAATCACACGGACTACCGCGCAGAGAGTTTTGTCGGCTCGACCCTTACCTGAGCCGTTAACACATCAGTATGTTTCTTGAGTTCCTGCCATTGGCACTGCAAAAGTGTGGTCTTGCTCATAAGGAAACAGTTCTAGAATTGAAGTCGCAGTTTCGCCAATTTTCGTGGATTCCACGCTGACCACGAACAAAAGCGATACCACACAGGATTTCTCAAATAGTGTCAGGTGAGCAAGTTCTTCAAAGATTTTTTCTTCCATGATTCTCATCATATTCTTTTCTTGAAACTTCGTCATCATCTGAATATTGCATGCAGCAGAGGGAGCCTCTGAAGGATCTTGAAAATTTGGAAATACAAGTTGTTTTAGGGCTCCAAAAATTCAAAGCTGAGCAGGTTTTGCAATGGTACTTCCGAAAAGATCCACTTATATGGGAGCAAAATAAAAATTGAATTAAAGTGGAATTCACGATAAGAACGAAGGTCAAAGAAAGGGAAAATTGCATAGTTGGGAGACAGGCGGACCTCCTGAGGGTGCTGACCGACGCGCAATTGGCAGCGAAAGATTTGACCTCGGCGATCTAGCATGGCTCACTCTTGGCGCGGTTGGCGGGTACGCCCACCGACTATCTAATCACTCGCCGCAGGTCTATACGTGGCTAGTGATCGCAGAGGGAGAG